TGCTCATATTTTAAAGTATCAAAATGTTTTTAAATTTGAGAATTCCAAGCTTGGTTATTTAGAGAATACACAAATATTACTAAACTTCTAAAGCACTGTTTTTTTTTGGGAGGAGGTGAAACTAAGGATTGAAGTCAGGGCTCATGCTTGCCAGGCAGGTTCTCTACCACTTGTGTCATCCTCCCAGTCCTTTTTGCTTTAGTTATTTTTAAAAATAGGATCGTGTGTGTGTGTGTGTGTGTGTGTGTGTGTGTGTGTGTGTGTGTATGCAGGCAAGGCTGGACAGAAATCCTCCTATTTATGCTTCCCACATAGCTGGGGTAATAGGAGAACAACAGTATGTCTGTCTTTTTATTGGTTGAAGTTGGAGTCAACTTTTTCCCTGGGCTGGCCTCAAACTGTGATTCTCCCAATCTCTGCCTCTCAAGCAGCTAGGATAATAGCCTTGAACCAGTGTGCCGGCCAAAAACTGTCCCTGAGCTCCTTTTGCTCAAGGCTAGCACTTTGCCACTTTGAGGCACAGCTCCACTTCTGATTTTCTTGTGGTTAATTGGAGATAAGAATCTCATGGACTTTCCTGCCTGGGCTGGCTTTGAACCAAGATCCTTAGATCTCAGCCTCCTGAGTAGGCTGAGAATTATAGGCATGTACCACCAGAACCTGACCCCAAAAGCATTGTTAATGTTACTTTTCCTGGTGAAATATAAAATGAAAACGTGTACATGTAAATAAGCATATTTTACTTATACTTTAGATCTTGTGGCTGCACCCATTTAGAAAACCATCCAATGTAAAATGTCATGATCTGGTGACATGGTCTGCCTCTCCTGTGGAGTTTGCAGCGGGAGGTTAAGGCATTGATTTGGATCCTCAGCCATCTCCGTTGAGAAGGTGCATGAGCCAGTCTCTGTCTCATTCCTGTGGCACGTCTCTGACGTTGGGAGTGAGGCGAAAAGAGCTCCGTGGATTTGTGTTTAGTCATAATAACTGGCCATTTGGGTAGAACCCAGGCCTGGTTTTGCACTACCTTGCAGATGTTGTTTCTGGGGTTTCTAGGCATTTTAGAGACCTGATGTCCCACGGCTAGCCTTTTGGTAGGCGTCAGTGGGGGCTGACTGAGGGGCTGTGGCACGAACGAGGTGTGACCTCACCAGGCGGGGCCACCATGGCTTCACATGGACCCCAGAATATTGTTCTAGAAATGCATGGAGGGACTTTGCAGCTCTGCTATAGTGTATGTAGGATGTGGCGTGTCTGCAGCTGGTCAGCAGAAGCTGGGACTGGTGAGCTGGGCACCCCGGGGGCGGGGCATCCTCCTGAGGCAGTTAGTTGACTGAGAGAAAGCAATTCTGCAGTTTGGGGTGGTGGTCGGAAACCTTTAGTTGTCATCATCTTCAGATTTTCGTTTGTAGCTCTGAAGTGTCACCATGGAATCAGAAGGGTTGTAAATGGTCCTGTTTTGGTTTCCAGTCCAGTGTTACACTGAACTACCCTGTCTCATTTTATCCCTGACTTGGGAGCTGCCCATGCTGGGCACAGGGTGGGGAGGAGAAATGCCTTGCCAGACCATGCAGATTCAACAGCATCACACTCAGAGGGTAGATGTGGCGAAGAGAAACAGGGCTGGGGATGGAGCTTGGCGCACAGCACATCTTGGCATGAGTGGGGCCCTGGGCTTTGGTCCCCAGCAGCAAAAACCAAAAGCAAACAGCACGTCAAAGTAGACTCTGCTTTCCTAAGTCCAGGTTTTGGGTCATCACTGTGGGGCGGGGAGGTCGGGCAGGCTGCCTGGGTTCTGACACTCACTAGCTTTTGGGCAGGGGAACATGGATGACCTCCCCCAGGGAGCCACTGCGGGGATCTGAACATGGGGAAGCAGGGACCAAGGAGTAGCTGACTGCCCACCGCCGGTGCCAGGGCAGTAGGGTTCTGATGCCAGCTCGATTGTTGCATCTGTTGGCTTAGTTATAAGTTGAAAAAGTGAAAGTAGTTATACTGAGCCTCAGATCATTTGACTCTGTTTTCATTGATCGTAAAAGGCTAGCTGGAGAGAGCCTTGAGCACCATCGAGACATTGATCCAAAGGATCCGATGTTCTTCATCCGATCTTCAGCTGTTAGCCACCTCCTGTGGAGGACCGCCGTAGTTGGAGAGCTGTCAGTTCCAGCTGTGGGTGGGCGCCTCTCTCCAGTGCAGGCTCAAGAAAGAAGCCATGCCCTGCTGCTTCCAGGCCAGAGGGCTTCTGACCTCATTGCGCTGCTGTCAGGATTAAGCAGGGCAGTGTAAGGTGGGCTCTGGTGGCTCATGCCTGTAATCTTACCTACTTGGGAGGCTGAGAGCAGGAGGATTGTGGTACAAGGCCAGCCCACGCAAAAAAGTTTGTAAGACCCCATCTCCATGGAAGGAAGCCGGACATGCCGGCTGCTGGCCCGGAATGGTAGGAAGCCTGGAGAAGGTAGACGGTGGTAGAAGTGAGACCCTATCCTAAAAGTAGTCACTTAAAAACAGGGCTAGAGGTGTGGCTCAAGGGGTAGAGGGGCAGCTCAGCAAACAAAAGGTCCTGTGTTCAAATCCCGATGCTGCCCCAGTAAATAACAGGACAAGTGACCTCGCACACAGTTAAATGTCCACGGTGGTCCCCCCACTGCCGTGGGCCTCTGGGTCCTCCCGCTGACAGGGCAGGGCACCTCATATGCGTGATGTCGACCACATCAGCCAGCATATGGCTGAGCATGCACAGGGAGCTGTTCAGGCACTGCGGCGAGCTGGATGAGCGCAGGCACCCCGAGCGCTCCAGCTTCGGCTGGGCGGGCCAGCCGTGAGATGGCAGGACATCCCTCAGAGGGCACAGCACATGTTGGAACTCTGCCTTCCCCCACCCCAGCAGGCAGGCAGGCAGTCCAGCCCCTTCTCTTTCCAGCAACACAAAGAATCAAGGCAAACGTGCCCCCAGGTGGGGCCAGATTGAAGCCCTGATAAGGGCTGGTGACCCCCGGGGGCCTCCTCACCCAGGAGTGGAGGCAGGAGGAGGAGGAAGGCGAGGCTGTAAATGGAGGGTCAGGGGAAGGGGCCGCGGGCACGCAGCCTGTGGTGGAATTCTCTTTTGCAAGAGGTCACTGAGTCAGATGTGGTGGATGGACAATTTTATGGCCGCTAATAAAATTTATAGCCAGGGTAAGCTAAGATAATAAAGGTAATCAAACGTGGTGCTCTGGGATGTAAGAACCTCATCCTGACCTGGTGGAACTGCTGGGGGAGGGGGACTCACCTGGGTGACTCAAGGCCAGCTTGCCCCAGGGCTGATGGTGGGCTTGGGGGTCATGGAGAGGGGGCCAGGCTCAGGTCGGGCTTCCAGGGAGGTCACAGGTGCACATGTTCTGAGGATAGATGGCAAGAACACTGAAAAGGTGAATGCAGTCCCCCCAAGGCACTCCTAAGGAAGGGCCCGGACCCTCTCTGATGTGACAAGAATGTCCACGGCTGTGCACACCACCAGACCTGGCAGGGTGGCGGAGAGAGGAAAAGGGCAGCAAAAAAGATCCCGTGCTGCTTGCCACAGGCGGCCAGAAACTGGACTTTGAAGACGTCCAGGCCCGGGGACTCATTTACACCTGGGAAGGGGGATTTGAAGGTGTGGGCCGCTCTGGAACCCGCGCTCTGTGTGAGTTCCCTTCCTCCACACACCCAGCGGAGGATAGCGGCCATGACAAGGACCACAGACTTCTGTTCCTTCTTCCAAACTTCGTACTGGAAGTGTGGCCACGGGCCAGCGTGTGGCTAAGAGGCAGAGGAAACCCAGGGAGGCTCCAGGGGCTGTACAGTCCCTGCCCTATTGAGGGCAGGGAACATTCTGGAAGCTGGCAGCTGCCTTTGCTACTCCTCTTGAGTTTCCTTACTTGGGTCAAGTTTCCTCTCAGTGCGGTGAATGAACGAGAGGAAGAAAGCGTGTGTTGGCAGAATTTCGGCTGGATGATACCAAGGCTTTCCAAAGTACAGAAGTTTCGAGTCGGTGGGGCGTGGCGTGGACGGCTGTGTTCCTAGCAGTGGAAGTGCCCATGTTTTCATGTTCTGGGGCTGAGGATGGGGTGCGGGCAGGTTCGGCTACAAAGGGGGAAGCTCTCCTGCCTGTTGCGTTCCTGCGCTTGCGTTTTCTGCAGGGATAGAAGCATTTTTTACCTAGAATTTGAGGGTGAGAGCAGGTTAGCTTTGGAGCTGTGGTATCTGTCCTCCCCTTATTAAAAACCACTTTGCATTTTGCAAGGAGACTAAAGTTTTAGAGTAACAGGTTTTCCTGACGGCATGCTTCGGCTTGCCTCGGCCACCCGGCCACCTGCCTCAGAGCCGCGCTTTGCAGAGTGTATGTCCGTGGCCTGTCCCCGGGCATCCTGAGACTGTCCCTGTGCCTGCGGGGAGATGTGGACTGAGCTCCGAAACTTCGCTTTCAAAGGCATTCATTACAGTACGATGGAGGCCCTTTATCCTAATGAGCCAGAAGGAAAAGGAAGTCTGTTGAAGTGATCTCAACCTTCCAGGAGCTCCTGGTAGCTGGGCTCTTGTTTGCTTCTCTGATGCACTTGTCTTGCTGACCTACATAGCAAGAAGGCTGGCTTCTCCCTTCATCCAACTGTGCCTTTCCTGCCAGCCTGCCTGGAAGTGTCAGGCCGTTCCTGGGGAGAAGCAGCACTGGAGGAGGTGTTGTTTGCCTAGCCGTGGCACGTGCATAGCGAGTGATGCTCTTCCCTTAGCTGGAGGGGAGACACTGACATAATGCAGCTCAGGGTGTCAGGGGTTATTTACTGCATTATTTTAAATGAGGAGGAGGAGTCCCAGCTCCCGTGTGGGAGAATATCCCCAGAAGCGGCAGTGGCCACGGGTGCCTGAGCTGAGTGTGGGTGCCCGGAGCAGTCCCCTGCGGCCCCTTCCTCCACCCCAGCGGCTGGCGGGGGGGCAGGAGACGTGGGTAGCCACAGGTAGTGAGCTGTGTCCATTTTCCTCGTCAGATCTCCCAGATGGTGACAGAGCCTGGCCGCGAGGGACAGACGGAAGCGGTGCTGAACTGCTACAATGCGGACAAGCCCTCGGCCTGCAGCGGCGCGGCCCCCCCGGCCTCCAGCGAGGCCCCCACCGGCACCTCCGTGGCCGCGTCCTTCTTTGCAAGGTAAGAGATACGCTGCTCTTCGCCTCTTTTGGCTGTGCCCAGCTGGTCACCTCCTGTGCGGACCAGGCCAGCTGCGAGAACAGGAGGGAGTTGGGGCCGTTCTTTGACTTGGCTCATTGAGTTGGTACCCTGGACCTCATGCGACAGACAGCTGCGGTGCACACGGCTGCGTGTGTACAGGATAGGTGTGTGCTGCCACGTGGTACAGGATGGGTGCGCACCGCCACGTGCGTGGAGGATGGGTGCGCGCTGCCACGTGGGTACAGGATGGGTGCACGCTGCACGATGGGTGCACACTGCTATGTATGTACAGGATGGGTGCACGCCGCCGCGTGGGTACAGGATGGGTGCACACCACCACGTGCGTGGAGGATGGGTGCGCATGCAGGATGGGTGCACACTGCTGTGTGTGTACAGGATAGGTGCACGCCGCCGCGTGGGTACAGGATGGGTGTGCGCCGCCGCGTGGGTACAGGATGGGTGCGCGCCGCGGAGTGGGTACAGGATGGGTGCGCACTGCTGTGTGTGTACAGGATGGGTGTGTGTGTACAGGATAGGTGCGCACTGCCGCGTGGGTACAGGATGGGTGCGCACCGCCGCGTGGGTACAGGATGGGTGTGTGCTGCTGCTTGCGTGCAGGATTGGTGTGTACTGCTGTGTATGTGCAGGATGTTTAGCAGCCTCTTTGTCCTCAACCCACTGGTTGTCAGGAGTCCCATCTTGCTTCCCCTCCCATGACTGCCAAAGCATCTCTACACACGGTGAGATGTCTGTAGGCTGGGAACCGGTGCTGTAGGAGCCCATAGCTCTGAAGACGGTCCTCCCTGGGCAAATGAATTGCCAAATGAATTGACTGTTAAATAGATGGTATTTCCCCCCTTTCTTGACAGACTAGCTGGATAGATACAAATATGATCTAGAGAATCTCAGAAAGTTTTGTAAAATGGGGGAAACAAAAATGAAAGGTATCTTAACAACGCCTTCTGCCTAGTCTTAGCCACGTGGCTGAGACGGGGCTGGAGACAGAGGACAGCTGGCAGGCAGGAGTTTCAGGGCCATCTAATTCTGTCTCCTTATCTTATGAATGGGAAATGTAGGGCCAGAAAAGTTCAACTGTGAGTTAATTTATAGAAAAGCCAGAAATAGAAACCACACAGACTCCTCTACTTCTTCTCTGTGACTGTCTTTAAGCTTAGAAAATATTCTCGGGGTTGGATTCTCCAGCCCTTCAGTAAATGAATGCAGAATGAACGGAACCCTTGGGTTAGAGGCCTAGTCCTGCCTCAGCTTCCCCATCTGTAGAATGAGGATAACACCTAGGTGATGGCCGATTAGAAAGTACCTTGCCAAGCCGGGCGCCAGTGGCTCATGCCTGTAATCCTAGCTGCTCAGGAGGCTGAGATCTGAGGATCATGGTTCAAAGCCAGCCCAGGCAAGGTAAGTCTGTGAGACTCTTATCTCTAATAAACCACTAGAAAACTGGAAGTGGCATTGTGGCTCAAGTGGTAGGGTGCTCGCCTTGAGCTGAAGAGCTGAGGGACAGCACCCAAGCCGAGTTCAAGCCCCACGACTGACAAAAAAAAAAAGAAAGTACCTTGCCAGAGTTAACTGAGTACTACCCGGGCCTGTGGAGCATTAAGAAGGAATAAAGTACAGCTTTTCTTATCCACACAACTGGCAACATTCAGCAGAGACAGGAAGAAGGGCCTGTGACCAGGAAAGCAGCGAGTTAGGGCAGACAGAGGGCAGTGGCCACCAGGAAGCAGTGCCTGGGTCTTGGTGGAAGATTGACTTTGAGGGGCATGTTGTACTTTGGTACCACATTTTCTGCACCCATGTGTGATTTGAATGTGGGGGAAGTGAGTAGGTATAAGCAGGTCAGCCAGCCGTGGGGCCGAGGTGAGTGCTGAGTGTTGAGTCTCTGTGTTGTCTGGACCACAGCAGGGGTGCGAGCTCCGGGGCGGGCATGTCTGGGCCATCTAGAGCGGGAGTGTACGTGTATGATGGGGAACGTCACGAGCTCATAAGACCCCAGCCTCTGGTAGATGCTCAGAACATGTGCCTGGGGGCTGAAGACTTTGGAGCCACACCCTGCAGGTTTAGGGCAGAGAGGAGCCGGCCGCCCCTCAGCGGTCTCTCCCTCCCGACTTGCTCAGGATGAAGGAGAGCGTGTTGGCATTGCACACTGCCCGCCAGAGAGGGAGGATGCTGTCCCACGGGGAGGGGTGGAGGTTGAGGTGAGGGATGAGCTGTGCAGGCATGCTGTTCTGTGATGGCCATCGGCCTGCCCAACTTGACCTTCTCTGAGCCTGAGACCTTCAGTTGAGAGCCCTTCAGAGAATTCTGTAGAAACTCAGCCGACTCACAAAACACGTCTGAAGAAGGTGTTGAAGCAGGCAGAGAGGAAGCCCAGAGGCCACCAGCAGCCCTGTTAGGTACAGCAGGAATCTCCTTGGCTGGGACTCAACCCAGCAGCTTCGTAGAGCAAGGCAAGGGTGTGGTCATGAGATTGGCTGGAGGAGTGGTGGGCTGGCGCCAGTTCACATGCGTCCAGGGGGAGTTCCAAACCAGCCAGCAGGCGTCCAGGCTGGGAGAGGCAAACTGTGGCAGAGGCGGCCTTCCCTGGGACCCTTGCTCATGCACCAAGGGCAGAAAGGAGACACTGGACCTGCCCCAAGTGGACCGGTCAGTACTACACAGAGGCTCTGAAACACGTGTGCATGTGTGCATGCACACCCACACACCCTCCTGCCCCAAGTGGACCGGCCAGCACAACACAGAGGCTCTGAAACACGCGTGCATGTGTGCATGCACACCCACACACCCTCCTGCCCCAAGTGGACCGGTCAGTACTACACAGAGGCTCTGAAACACGTGTGCATGTGTGCATGCACACCCACACACCCTCCTGCCCCAAGTGGACCGGTCAGTACTACACAGAGGCTCTGAAACACGTGTGCATGTGTGCATGCATACCCACACACCCTCCTGCCCCAAGTGGACCGGTCAGTACTACACAGAGGCTCTGAAACACGCGTGCATGTGTGCATGCACACCCACACACCCTCCTGCCCCAAGTGGACCGGTCAGTACTACACAGAGGCTCTGAAACACGTGTGCATGTGTGCATGCACACCCACACACCCTCCTGCCCCAAGTGGACCGGTCAGTACTACACAGAGGCTCTGAAACATGCATGCATGTGTGCATGCACACCCACACACCCTCCTGCCCCAAGTGGACCGGTCAGTACTACACAGAGGCTCTGAAACACGTGTGCATGTGTGCATGCACACCCACACACCCTCCTGCCCCAAGTGGACCGGTCAGTACTACATAGAGGCTCTGAAACACGCGTGCATGCACACCTACACACCCTCCTGCCCCAAGTGGACCGGCCAGCACAACACAGAGGCTCTGAAACACGTGTGCATGCACACCCACACACCCTCCTGCCCCAAGTGGACCGGTCAGTACTACACAGAGGCTCTGAAACACGTGTGCATGTGTGCATGCGCACCCACACACCCTCCTGCCCCAAGTGGACCGGTCAGTACTACACAGAGGCTCTGAAACACGTGTGCATGTGTGCATGCACACCCACACACCCTCCTGCCCCAAGTGGACCGGTCAGTACTACACAGAGGCTCTGAAACACGTGTGCATGTGTGCATGCACACCCACACACCCTCCTGCCCCAAATGGACCGGTCAGTACTACACAGAGGCTCTGAAACACGCGTGCATGTGTGCATGCACACCCACACACCCTCCTGCCCCAAGTGGACCGGCCAGCACAACACAGAGGCTCTGAAACACGCGTGCATGTGTGCATGCACACCCACACACCCTCCTGCCCCAAGTGGACCGGTCAGTACTACACAGAGGCTCTGAAACACGTGTGCATGCACACCTACACACCCTCCTGCCCCAAGTGGACCGGTCAGTACTACACAGAGGCTCTGAAACACGTGTGCATGCACACCTACACACCCTCCTGCCCCAAGTGGACCGGTCAGTACTACACAGAGGCTCTGAAACACGCGTGCATGTGTGCATGCACACCCACACACCCTCCTGCCCCAAGTGGACCGGTCAGTACTACACAGAGGCTCTGAAACACGCGTGCATGTGTGCATGCACACCCACACACCCTCCTGCCCCAAGTGGACCGGCCAGTACTACACAGAGGCTCTGAAACACGCGTGCATGTGTGCATGCACACCCACACACCCTCCTGCCCCAAGTGGACCGGCCAGTACTACACAGAGGCTCTGAAACACGCGTGCATGTGTGCATGCACACCCACACACCCTCCTGCCCCAGGTGGACCGGTCAGTACTACACAGAGGCTCTGAAACATGCATGCATGTGTGCATGCACACCCACACACTCTCCTGCCCCAAGTGGACCGGTCAGTACTACACATAGGCTCTGAAACACGTGTGCATGCACACCTACACACCCTCCTGCCCCAAGTGGACCGGTCAGTACTACACAGAGGCTCTGAAACACGTGTGCATGCACACCTACACACCCTCCTGCCCCAAGTGGACCGGTCAGTACTACACAGAGGCTCTGAAACACGTGTGCATGTGTGCATGCACACCCACACACCCTCCTGCCCCAAGTGGACCGGTCAGTACTACACAGAGGCTCTGAAACACGCGTGCATGCACACCCACACACCCTCCTGCCCCAAGGGGACCGGTCAGTACTACACAGAGGCTCTGAAACACGCGTGCATGCACACCCACACACCCTCCTGCCCCAAGTGGACCGGTCAGTACTACACAGAGGCTCTGAAACACGCGTGCATGCACACCCACACACCCTCCTGCCCCAAGTGGACCGGTCAGTACTACACAGAGGCTCTGAAACACGCGTGCATGTGTGCATGCACACCCACACACCCTCCTGCCCCAAGTGGACCGGTCAGTACTACACAGAGGCTCTGAAACACGCGTGCACGTGTGCATGCACACCCACACACCCTCCTGCCCCAAGTGGACCGGTCAGTACTACACAGAGGCTCTGAAACACGTGTGCATGTGTGCATGCACACCCACACACCCTCCTGCCCCAAGTGGACCGGTCAGTACTACACAGAGGCTCTGAAACACGCGTGCATGCACACCCACACACCCTCCTGCCCCAAGTGGACCGGTCAGTACTACACAGAGGCTCTAAAACACGCGTGCATGCACACCCACACACCCTCCTGCCCCAAGGGGACCAGTCAGTACTACACAGAGGCTCTGAAACACGTGTGCATGCACACCCACACACCCTCCTGCCCCAAGTGGACCGGTCAGTACTACACAGAGGCTCTAAAACACGTGTGCATGTGTGCATGCACACCCACACACCCTCCTGCCCCAAGTGGACCGGTCAGTACTACACAGAGGCTCTGAAACACGCGTGCACGTGTGCATGCACACCCACACACCCTCCTGCCCCAAGTGGACCGGTCAGTACTACACAGAGGCTCTGAAACACGCGTGCACGTGTGCATGCACACCCACACACCCTCCTGCCCCAAGTGGACCGGTCAGTACTACACAGAGGCTCTGAAACACGCGTGCACGTGTGCATGCACACCCACACACCCTCCTGCCCCAAGTGGACCGGTCAGTACTACACAGAGGCTCTGAAACACGTGTGCATGTGTGCATGCACACCCACACACCCTCCTGCCCCAAGTGGACCGGTCAGTACTACACAGAGGCTCTGAAACACGTGTGGATGCACACCCACACACCCTCCTGCCCCATCCTCACTGAACTGTTTTGCTCTGCTGTTCTCATCAACAACAGCCAGGCCTTCCCAGCAAGGCCAGCAGCACGGGAACAATCTCTCTGTCCCCGATGGAGGCCTGCACAGAGAACAGGATGGGAGCGGGGGCGGGGGGGGGGGCGGTGGGGAGAGGCTTTTTCCATGGTCTGTGTGAAGCAACGGGGTAGGACCTCTTTCGGATCCCCAGAAGTCAGTGCCACGAGGCAAACCCAGCTTGGCTTTTACTGTCCGACGGCAGACGGGGCTCAGGGTCAGTGGCTGCAGCAAGGCTGTGTAGGAAGATGGGTGCATGGGTGGCTTTTGACAGAGGTGAAATGAGGGACAGTTGCTGCTGCCACCACTGGGGTTGCTGTCCCCGGGTCCCCTGGTCCTCAGAGGGGGGAGGGGTTTGTCCTCATGAAGTAGACACAAAGTGCTCCCTGTGAACACTTGCACCTTCCTGTTAGAAACACCTCTGCAGCACTGCCAGAGAAGACCCTGTGGATGGCACAGCTGGTCCCACGAGGGGCAGGAGCAGGGAGCGCGCTGGTGCTGGTCTCAGGTGGGACAGGAACAGGGAGATGGCGCTGGTCAGGGCCGGTGTCTCGTTGCCACTTCAATGGAGAGACGGGCAGAGCTCGGGGCCTGGCGCAGTGAAGTCCCAGCTCTGTGTTCATCGTTAGAATACCTTCTTGCCCGTCACGCCCCAAACCTAGAAGCAACCCAAACACCCCCAGGGCTTGTCCGTCTCCACACCGCAGCACCTTGCTGCTGCCATTGCTTCTGGTTTCTGGATTTATCCATGGCTGAAGCATGTGGTCCCTCCCCTGTCCCCTCCTTTCTCAGCCCCACATCCCTCTTCCACGCGCCCCTTTCCTGCCTGCGTCATGAAGCCAGGCTCCCACTGAGCTTCCTGTGGGACTCGTTGGACAGTGCGCACAAGGATGTCACCAGCTCATGGCGCCGGGCGGCCAATGGGGGGTGCGTGGTCCTTAATGTAGCCAGGCCCCTTGTGGCCAGGCGAGGTCTGTGTAGACAGTTGAGGACTGGCTCCAGTTGCCCTGGCAGCAGACGGCAGCAGGAGAGGCCTCTGAGCTTCCGTGGAGGCTGAGCTCCTGCCCTGGTTTTCTTAATCCTAACAGGTCTGAGTTTTGCTGTTCTTAGAGAAGACTCACGGACTTGTTAGAAAACAAAGCCTTGTTACTCAAGCGTCTGGGGCAGCAAATGTTTGGTTCTGTGACTGTGATGTGCCTCAGTCTCCCCTCGGTGACAGGTGAGAGGGGGCTTGAAGAGGCCACGTGTCTATTTAGTGCCACCAGACTTCTGAGCCCAAGGACACAGGCCCAGAACTTTCCTGGTGGAGAAGTGCATCTTTGACTGCCTGTGAGACCCACAGCCAAGGCCCCGAGAACACATGCCGCGGTCCAGGTCCCCATTGTCGTCCCTTGTGTTAGAGTCCCAAGATAGACAGATGGCCCTCACGGCCAGTGTGCTGCCCCACCAGGGCTGATTGCTGTGGGTATGGCCCACTGCAGCAGGAGGCCCAGGGGCTGGGCGCACCTGAGCTGGTGGCCTGGGCATGTTTTGGAAAGCACTGGCCATGGGCCCCCTCCACCGTGGGCCCCTGGCAAGCCTGTGTGGCCATGCTGGCTGGGCCGCTAGCAAGCGCTTGTCCACATCTGGGAATCACTTGCATTGCTTTGCTCAGGTGGCTAATGGGGATGTTTGAAGACAAAGGAGCATGCGCCAGCCTGAGAGGGAGTCTTGTGGCATGGCCCCTGCATCCGGCATCCTGGTTCTCATGCACATCTTGATGATGTGGGTCTTGAGCTAGAAGAAGGACATGGAGAAAAGGCTAGAAAGTGGGGACAGTCCAGGTTAAATCCCATTGTGATTCAAGTCACTAGGCAAATAGCCCCTCTAAGCTTCTCCTTCCTTCCTTCCTTCCTTTCTTTTGTCCTTTTTGTTTTGTTGTTGCTTGTTTGTTTTGGTGACAGTACTAGAGGCTCAAACTCAAGGCCTGGGCACCATTCCTTAGCTAGAGGTTGTCACTCTACCACTTGAGTCACTGTCCCACTTCTGGCTTTCTGTTTCGTGGACTTTGCTTGAGTAGCTGGGGTTCTAGGCGTGAGCTGCTGGCGTTCAGCAGCCCGTTTCCTATTAGGGGCATGGTCCTGGCAAGGGTCGGCCAGGATAGGAGAGTACTTCGGACATTTTACCCAACTTCTAGTTGGGATGCTCAGACAGCCCTCTGTGGCTCCACCTTTTCCTTTGAGTCAGCACCGGTCCTGCCCCTTCTTCCAGTGTGTTCCCCGCACCCATAACTCCACTAAGGACCGCCAAGCCCTCTGCGGCTGTGGGAAGGCCTGTGCCCAGCATGGTGTCCGGCCACCGGGGAAGTTGTCCACCCAGGAGCTGAGACCAGTTGGCCCTTCAAACTTCCTGGCAGGAACCAGAAAACATGAAAGGCCTGGCAGCAGGAGCCGCCCTGGAGCCGTGTTCCAATTACTTGGCTGCATGCTTCTAAGTGTTTGAAGGTGCTTGATTCTTTAGTTTTATAGCCCTAGAAAAAATAGGTCTCTAATAAACAAGAAAACTAAAGATAAGAAGGAAAAGGAAGGAAGGAAGTAGCAGTGAAGAATTCTGTTCACTGTAGAGCCTGGTAGTGGCTCATGACCATGAACAGGCGCTCATGGTTTGAACAGAGGAGGGCGGAGGGTGAGCGCCAGGAAGAGTGCTGAAGCAGGGCTTCGGCGGACAGAGAGGACGTGGCTGACCTGACGGTGAGCCCGCAGATGGTCCCGGGCCGGCGCCTGTGCCTTCACCTTCCTGCGACACATCCATGACCCACTCCCTGTCTTCAGTATTGGTCATTTAAAAGCTGTAACAGTCCCCACCGTTCACCTTGAGCTGTGGCACATGACACACACAGAGATGAGGGCAGCCAGCGAGTGTCTGGTGAGGGGGTCTCAGAACCCTGGTGTCAGATTTCAGAACTCATGGACCAGGAAGGGAGCCCCAGAGATTAGTTGTGTGTGTGTGTGCTTGGTTTTGGCAGAAGCTCCAGTGTCTAAAAGAGTCCTCAGGAAACATTTGGTGAGTGGCTAACTGAACGCGCTCACCACCGTTCCCCACCTCCGGGTCCAGGTGAGTTGAGTGGGGCTGATGGTGGTGAAGTCAGCGCAAGGGCCGTGGCTGGTGGGAGCGGGCCGGGGAGGACAGGCCACCGAAGCTCCGTGGGAGAGATGTCACCACACGCGCCGAAGGCTTGCTACTAAAATGCAGCTTCCGTCCCATTCAAGAAAAGCCAGCGGTTTTAGGGTGACTTGCGAGGCTACCCCCCTTCCCTGCTTCCTCCACCACACTCCCTTGCGCACGCTGCTCTTGGAGTGTTTACTCCTTTGCCTCGCACAGAGTGCTAGCACATCCCCTCCCAGGGGGGCCTTGCCCCTGTCTGCTCAGCTCAGCCACCCAGTCTCCCTCAAATGGACCTCTTTGACGCCCTGCCTCGCCGCTGCTGGGTATGAACGGCTCTGGGACAGTGAAGGAGTCTCCAGGCTGTCCTCCGCTGAAGTTCCTGGAGGAGTTTGCACTTTTCCGACTTGGTTCTAGCCACGTGCACAGGAATTAAATTCTTCCCTTAGCTCTGGGATGCTTTGAGAGATAGCATCATAAGGAAGTCTCATCAGGAAATTGAGCTTCTTGTTAGAGCAACTACCTAGAAATGTCTTCAAGAGGAAGAATGTTCACATTGAGATTAAAAAAAAAAAAAAGCAAAGAATGAGGATGAGTTGAAACTGGGAAAGACTCATTAGTGACGGACTGTGGGTGCGAAGCCCGGCTCTCCATCTGTCCTCTGCCTTCCTGAGACCTGTCTTTTCCTTCCCTGAATAAACCTCTTTGTTTCTGTCCCCCTGGCTTGATTTATTATTTTAATTCTGTAGCTGTCTGAGTGAAGTATGTAAAGCATTTGGAAATAAAATCATGTGGAAGGCATTAGGGGAACTAAAGATGTGTTATGGTGTGTGGTGTTGGGCCGAGGTTCGGTGTGCTGACAGATGGGGTTGCTGATGAAAATGACCTGTCCACGGCACTGCCTGTTGGCTCCTTGTGGACTTAAGGGGCCCGAGTTTAATAACGTGGCCCTGCAGAGGTTGGAGGGAATCACAGACGGTCCTCATTGGCATCGATGAGGTCGGTACGCAGGGGCGCCCCTGAGTCAGTGGAGAGGTTGGTTTCTTGCTTCTAAAATGGAAATGAATGTTTCCATTTCTGCTGTCTGGTGACTATCTGAGGGATGTTCCTGTTGCTTCAATCTGTGTATGAGATTGGGCGCTAAACACTCCATCCCCTCACACACACATATACTTCGTGGCCTGCCTGATCCATGGTAGATGTGCAATGAATGAGTGAGTGTGAATCAAGGGTGCTTGAAAACCCAGCTCTGTCCGCTTCTCGAAAGAACATGACACTTAAAAAGAAGCCATGAGTGCTCGCCAATGCCTCCGTTTCCTGAGCAGCCCCATTTCTCGTCTTCCTAGGGGCTGGTGTTAGTGATTAAAAAATCATCCAGATTGAAGTGGACCCTGAGATGGGGTCCACGCTGGTATGATTTCATTTTGAGCTTTGCCTTTGTTTTAGAGATTTTAGACTTGATGGGCCTAGTTCCCAGAATGAAAAAAATGCATCTGGTCCCCCTCCCCTGAACAACCTAACCCACCCTTGAATGTGGAGTTAAAGACTGACCCATAAAACAGATAGGTTGTAATCTGGCTCCAACTGGCGACACCACGTGCTTACAAGTAAACCCTGCCTTTTGCACATGCTTACGGTAAACTCTGCCTATTGGCCACCTGTGTGTGGTCTGGTATGACTGTATAATCCTTTGTGTGTGTTGCGATCCCATTGGTCACCTGCACATGACCAAGCTCATGGATTTTGCCTTTAAAAATCAAAGAATGGGGGTCACTCGGGGTCGCAGTATCAGCTCCCGAGCCTGTGCTGCGGTTTTGACGCGTCAGTGTAGGAACCTTCTCAATAAAGTTGCTTCTTTGTTAAAAAAACAAAAAAACAAAACAAATCATCCAGATGGGTCAACAAGTGGAAAATTCTCCTTGTTGGTTCTACGTGGCGAGGCTCAGCATGTTACTTCTGATAGTTATCTGTTCATTATTTGTCATATGAACAAATGGACTTATCACCTCGCTGTAATTGGGGCATTCTCTGCTGGCACCCGGCGGGCTTGTTCAGGAAGCCCATGAAATTGGGGAAATAGTTCACTAGACTAGGAACGAGGACATGTGTTATTTTCTTGGCACCACCCCAAACCAAAGCTTGAAGAGTCCACAGTTTGTCTCTTAATGCCTCACAAGAGGAAAGACGGGGAGCAGTAGTCACAAAGGACGCCATGAACACTGGGTGAGCCCTCTTGAATAAAAAATGAAATAAACAACGGAGATAGAAGCCATCATTCAAATTTTATTTCCATTCTTTTAAGCGGTTAGAAAAATAAATGTGGTTCATTTTCTTCAAGTGAATTTCCACACTGACTCTTTGGTGCTCAATCTAAAGAAGCAGCGTGGGAAAAATAACATTTTTTAAACTTGACTATACAGAATTTTAGAATCATCTTTTAGGGATAGAGGAAAAACCCAACTGTCTTAATACCTAAAAGAACTTAAAATAAAAGACAGTGTAGCTTTGAGAAAAAAGCTCCGAGAATCAGGTCCAGGCTTGGCAGTGGGCTGGGAAGAGCCAGGGCTTCCTGCGGATTGTGGAGTCTGACGGCTGCGTCCAGCCCGGCTGCAGGGGCCCAGTGTGGCCCTGTCACACACCACCTCTGCCACGGCCCCCAGAGCTCCCCGGAAGACTTCTGGGTAACTGCTGGCTCCAAAGACAGTGCTGAGGTCTGGTGCCATGTGTCTGGCCCCCTGGGTCTTTTCTCTAAATCTGCCTCTGAGCAGATGCGACTTGCCCGGTTGGTAGAGGCTGATCCTCGTTACCCCGAGTCTCTCCTCTAGAAAGTGCCTTTCTGGCAGCATCCAGATTGGCGTTGGACAGAGCTGGGGAATTCCCTAGCTCCCTTGGCACACCCGATAATCGGTACCCCTGGAGTCAAGTGCCAAGTGTCCCAAGTGAACACCACGTTCGGTGCGGAGCCCCAAGCCACAGAGAACAGCAGAGGTCGTTCCTGGCACCACTCCTAGGGTTCACCCTGCCCTGCGGTGAGGCACCTTGGAGCTCAGCCATGCCCTGGCCGCAGGCCAGCCCTCCTGGCCTCTTTCCTCGTGTCCCCACCTGTTGGCCTGTTTAACCCATCGCTCCTGCCTTTTGGGAAAATTGGAAATTCGACTCTTACTCCTTAAGATGGTGAGCATTAAGTGGTAGTGGTAGAGACAATAAACAAAGAAGCCATGAGTCTATACCTTTTCCGCTGTGCGTGCGGATTGCGAGCGCAGCCTCGCTGCTCTGTGGTGGAGTGACCACTCAGCCCGGCCACGGAGCCCGTTCTCAGTGGGAGGAGGGAAGAAGGTGCTGCTCACGCTACAGTAAATCCACCCATCACTCCTGTCTCCTCACACATTCCGGGGCAGGGGGCGGGGATCCCACTGTAAGTCTATCGGCTACAGGAAGTCATAAATTGAAAATAACAAGGCGATTTCCTGCACACCTGGAGCTTCAGAATTACAACCCGTTGTGAATTCTCAGATGGTCTCCTCACAGAAGAGGCGGGGTGACATTGAAACTCGATCTCCCCTCAGCTCTGAACCCAAGCCCTGGTCCTCGTGAGCGCCCCCTCAGCTCTGAACCCGAGTCTGGTCCTCTCCTCTAGTGAAGTCTGACCTCTGCTCGAAAAAACAGTCCCTCATAGGGAGGTGACAGGAAGCGCAGGATCTGGGAATTTAATCCCGCCGGTTTTTATCTGTCTTCCTGTCTGTGACGCTCTCCCCTCAGCCCTTCTCTCGCACACTTTTGCTGTGGTTTGTTGACATACATTTTCCCGTTAGGCTAGCAGTAGGCAGAAGGCCCAGGCAGTCTCCCTGGCCGTTGGTTGGTTCTAAGCTGTAAATCCTTCCCGGTGGGGAGCGGCGCGCCCTGGGTGGGCTGCTGGGGAGGTGTGCTTCCGCCTGGCCGGTGCTTTAGCACTGACCCTGTCTCTAAGTAGCCTCCCATGGGCCTCAGAGCCACTATGTGTCACCTCACAGGAGTTAAGACGGAAAATCTTGGTGGAGAAAGAAAGCTCTGAAGAAGGGGAGCCACAAGTTCGTGGTCCAGAAGATTTCTACCTCTCCATCCTGTTCTTTGGGAACTAGGTTTCCTTTCTTTGAGAAAAATGCATAGTGGAGAAAAGGAGGATGTCCTTTACTTAGATCTCCAGAAAAGCCTTTAAAATATGTAACACCGGAAGTGGTACATCAGTGGCTTATGCCTAGCCACTTAGGAGGCTGCAAACTAGACCAGGGCCAGCAGGAAAGTTCAGAAGAACCCCTTTTCACCCAGAGCTGGGTGCAGGGACCTATGTCTGTCATCCTGTTACATGGGTGACAAAGATCCGAAGGATCACGATTCCAGACCGGGCCGGGCAGAAGACAAGACTCCATCCGCATGGAGAGGAGCTGCACACCCATTAACCCAGCAGCCATGGGAAGTGAGTTCAAGGCTCTGACAATCAAAAGTGCGGGAGAGAGAAGGAGACAGAGGAAGGAAGATAGGAATATACATCAGAACTGCGCTTTCGTTACCATATCATCCATTGCTCCTGGTGGTGTTTGGCAGGGGGAAATGAAGAAACACATTCGCACAGACTTGCACGTGAATGTTCATAGCAGCATTTATGAAAGCAAACTCATCAACTACCAAAGCGGCCAGGAAGGGACGAATGGACGAATAATTGTGGGCTACACATCCATACACTAGAATCTTCTAAGAGTGTTCAGACTATTGCTCCATGTAAGAAG